GGGCCCAAGGGGCCGCCCCCTCCTCCAGTGCCCCCTTCCCCGGTTTGCAGGTTCTTCACGGGGGGGGGGGGGGCTACTTACCTGGTCTGGAGGCAGGCAAGATGGCAGCCCCTCAGCCCTGCTGGCCACTCTCTTGGTACTTCAGCTGCCCCCAGTTGCCACTCTCAGTATCGTGTCCATACTCTCTCTGCCCCCTCCCTTCCCATGTTATGGAAAACAGTCGCATTCCCAGAACTTTGTGTTTTCCGGGCACAACCAAACCATGACTTAGGTTTAAGTTAGGGTGAGAGGAAGCTGCCTACCAAATTTGGTGGTCCTCGCTCTTACAGTTTAGGAGGAGTTCTTGAAGAAACGGACTCACAGACACACAGAGGGACACACTCTAAAACAGTGTTTCTCAACTTTTTTTTATATAAAGTACCCCGTTAAAAAAAAAGTACCCCTGGTACAGTTTTCAGACACATTTTTTTTTCTACCATTGCAACACGTTTGTTTAAACAACTTAATCATACCTGGGCAGGCAATTCAATTTTTGGGTGTAAAAAGTACACAAATAATAAAGCGCTGTAAAACTTAAAACAAAAATTCAATTTTCTCCAAAATTCAGTTGTGTAGATGTAACCCCCAGACTTCTCTTGAGTACCCCTAAGGGTACTCGTACCACTGGTTGAGAAACATGGGTCTAGATCATATAGATAAATGTATTTTGCCTCTCCGAAGAGACCAGTGTGAGAACATTGCTCCAGTGGGTACACTAGCAATTGTGCAATGCCTTGCTAAGAGGCTTGACAAGTAGGATGCAAGAGTTTCTCCTCACCTGTGAATCTAAAATCCAAAACACAATCCTGATCCAAATTTGCAAACGGGCATCTGTCTTTATAAGAAGCTGAACAAAAAACTGTGACAGAAGCCCCATTTAGGCCCTCTGAATTTTTCTGCTTGATCCCTCTGTAATGGTTATTATGATACAATTTGATATTAAAGGGCATCAGGTCCCCTCCCCCCGAACCATGCATGTACTTACAAATATAAAGATAAAAGCCCAAAAGTCACTGTAGCTTTTCCCTTTACGGAAAAGGAAAGAGACCACATAGGTGAGGAGGACACTGGATGCTGCATAGCCAATAATAGCTGCAATCTGAAGGAAGAGAACTGGAATGAGCATCATTGCAAAACACATAATAAGTAACACAAACTGTGTCACAGACATTTGTGATGGAATATTTGTGCTACCTCACCCTCACCAAATGGACTACGGTAGCCATTTTCGCAATCAGGGCTTTTTTGAGGAAAACAAATCTGAGCTGTCTACACTAGCCCTTTCGTGCAAAAGTTTTGCGCCAACGGGAGCAGTATAGTATTTCTGCAAGAAGCATGGATTTCTTGCAGTAGGAAGTTAGTGCTTTTGTGGAAATTCAAGTGGCCAGTGTAGACAGCTGGCAAGTTTTTCCGGAAAAGCGGCTGATTTTCCGGAAAAACTGGCCAGTCTAGAAACAGACCCTGATTTCATCTGTCCAACCTAAACCTCTCTTGTTGCAATTTAAGCGCATTGCTTCTTGTCCTATCATCAGAGGTTAAGGAGAATAATTTTTCTCCCTCCTCCTTGTAACACCCTTTTAGGTATGTGAAAGCTGCTATCATGACCCCTTCTCAGTCTTCTCTTTTCCAGACTAAAGAGTCTAGAGTACTTGGACAAGATTTTTTAAAAGTCAGGACTAAAATTTTTACCCATTTATTTTATACTTGAAGATGATTTTCCCACACAGTTTATAAAAAGGCAGAGTTACCATAGGTAAGGCTAAAAATCCAGGAGTCAGGCTAATGTTATAAAAAATTATAAATATAATCCCAGTCATTGTAAAGAGAAGAATGCAGCAGAGGGTAGTGTCCACCAGAGCCAGGCCACACCAATACGCTGATGGGAGCATGCCTGAAGTCCACAGCTGGGAGTGAGCTTTTATCTAGGGAGGGAAATGGACAGGAAAGAGGCTTTCACTCAGTTGGCCAAGAGTGATACTGAATGAGATAAAATGGGGAATACATTTCAGAAGCTCAGATATTAAAAAATAAAAATACCTGTTTAGAATTCTGTGACGGGAAGGGAGGGGAGTGCGGCTAAGCCACATGCTGGACTTGATACTGTAAACACTTCTCTGGCTTTGGCTGCACATGCCGTCTCAGAGAAATCAATCTTATAACTCACACACTCACGTGAAATAGATGTATAAATGTTTGAAAGTTTAGGACCAACGCACACACACACACTCTCTCTCTCTCTCTCTCTCTCTCTCTTTCACTCTTTTCTGAAAGACTTGTTCCTATGGGGTAACAAGATCACCTTGGCTGGATTTATCATCATTCCAAGGATCGACTGTTAAAACAGGAAACACCACAGAGCTGATGTTTCATTTCACCTACCTCAATTATCACTTCTTACCTTGTAATCCCCTATGCTGCTCATGGCAAAGTGAGGTGCAAGACCAGAAGCCAAAATAGACATGAGAATAATGGAAACCCAAAGCAAGTCTGTCATGTGCACAAGTGAAATCTTAAAAAGACAAAAAAACAAAAACAAAAACAAAACAGTAAGCAAAAATGGCAACCTGCTTTCATATAATGACCATGCTTTGCTCATTCTGGGTGCTTATGTCATGCATATAAATAATAAGAGGAGGATCAGTTTTAGATAATGTCATCATACAGTAGAAGATACAAAAGCATCCTGGAAGTTGCACTGACAGAGTCTGTCTGCATGTCTGTGCACTCTCAAAGCCTCCCTTTTTGTAAGGTTCCCAGGGAGGTGACAGGCCTGCTGACTCTCTACAGACTGACCCTGCAATGTGGCACTCAGTTTTGGATGTCACCGAGGGATGGAGACAAACTGAGACAAATTCAGAGAAAAATAAAACTGATTAGGGGACTGGAAGGATTCGTGGGTCCCCTATTACAGAAAGGAAGTGGGCGCACTGGAGAAAGTCCAGCAGAGGGCAACAAAAATGATGAGGGGACTTACGAGGAGAGGCTGAGGGGTTTGGGCTTATTTAGTCTATAGAAGAGAAGAGTCAGGGGGGATTTGATGGCAGCCATCAACTTCCTGGCGGGGGGGTTCCAAAGAAGATGGGGAGAGGCTGTTCTCAGTGGTGGCAGATGACAGAACAAGGAGCAATGGTCTCAAGTTGCAGTGGGGGATGTTTAGGTTGGATATTAGGAAAAACTATTTCATTAGGAGGGTGGTGCAGCCCTGGAATGGGTTACCTCGGGAGGTGGTAGAATCTCCATCCCCAGAGGTTTTTAAGACCCAGATTGACAAAGCCCCTATTTAAAACTATGGTACGCCCATATCTTGAATACTGTGTACAGATGTGGTCTCCTCACCCCAGAAAAGATATTTTGGCATTAGAAAAGGTTCAGAAAATGGCAACTAAAATGATTAGGGGTTTGGAACAGGTTCCATATGAGGAGAGGCTAAAGAGACTGGGGGTATGTCTACACTGCCACCCTAGTTCGAACTAGGGTGGCTAATGTAGGCATTCGAACTTGCAAATGAAGCCCGGGATTTAAATATCCCAGGCTTTATTTGCATGTTCCTGGGCGCCGCCATTTTTAAATGCCCCATAGTTCGAACTACCTGCCCGCGGCTATAGGCGGCACGGACTAGGTAGTTCGAATTAAAGCTCCTAATTTGAACTATCTTTACTCCTCATTACAGGTAGTTTGAACTACAGGGCATTTAAAAATGGCAGCGCCCAGGAACATGCAAATAAAGCCTGGGATATTTAAATCCCGGGCTTCATTTGCAAGTTCGAATGCCTACATTAGCCACCCTAGTTCGAACTAGGGTGGCAGTGTAGACATACCCCCAGTCTCTTTAGCCTCTCCTCATATGGAACCTGTTCCAAACCCCTAATCATTTTAGTTGCCATTTTCTGAACCTTTTCTAATGCCAAAATATCTTTTCTGGGGTGAGGAGACCACATCTGTACACAGTATTCAAGATATGGGCGTACCATAGTTTTAAATAGGGGCTTTGTCAATCTGGGTCTTAAAAACCTCTGGGGATGGAGATTCTACCACCTCCCGAGGTAACCCATTCCAGGGCTGCACCACCCTCCTAATGAAATAGTTTTTCCTAATAAGCGCACAGTCAACCTGTGGAACTCCTTGCCAGAGGAGGCTGTGAAGGCTAGAACTATAACAGAGTTTAAAAAAGAGCTAGATAAATTCATGGAGGTTAGGTCCATAAAAAGCTATTAGCCCGGGGATAAGGAATAGTGTCCCTGGCCTCTGTCAAAGGCTGGAGATGGATGGCAGGAGACAAGTCTCTTGATAATTGTCTCCGGTCCACCCCCTGGCATTGGCCACTGTCGGCAGACAGGATAGTGGGCTAGATGGACCTTTGATCTGACCCAGTAATGGCCATACTTATATGCTTATGACTGGGATGATTTAGTTGGGGTTGGTCCAGCTTTGGGCAGGAGGTTGGACTCAATGACCTCCTCAGGTCTCTTCCAACCCTAGGATTCTATGATCTTGGAAAATAATTCCCCCCTTCAGGTACACAGCAGCAGTATTTCAGAATAATTGATGTTATTCTGAAATAACAGAGTGCATCTATGCTACAGGCCTTTATCTTGAAATAATGGTGAGCTGGAGGACATCTTACTCTGACTCCTGTAACCATTATTTCACAAGGGCTGTGTCTACACTGGCATGAATTTCCGGAACTGCTTAAAACGGAAAACTATTCCGTTTTCAGTTTTTCCGAAAAAGGAGCGTCTACATTGGCAGGCTGCTTTTCCAGAAAAGCCCTTTTTCCGGAAAAGTGTCTGTGGCCAATGTAGACACGCTTTTCCGGAAAAGAGCCCCGATTGCCATTTTCGTGATTGGGGCTTTTTTCCGGAAAAGACTACTGGGCTGTCTACACTGGCCCTTTACGGAACAGTGTTCCGGAATAAGGACTTATGCCCGAGCGGGAGCAGAATAGTTTTTCCGGAATAGCGGCTGATTTTGTACAGTAGAGCATCGTTGCTTTTCCGGAAATTCAAGGGCCAGTGTAGACAGCTCGCAGCTTATTCCGGAAAAGCGGCTGATTTTCCAGAATAAGTGGCCCAGTGTAGACACAGCCAAGGAGTGAGGGAAGTTGAAGGAAGAATATTCTTCCTTTGACTTCCTGCTGTGTAGACAGCACCAAAAGCCTAATTAAGCTATTTCAACTTACGGTACACAATTGACGTAGCTGACGTTGCTTAGCTTAATTTGACTTTAGCCTGCTCTGTAGACATACCCTGCTTTCTCTCCGGAGTCCACACACTCCAGTAGAAATTTCAGAGTACAAAGGCCAAAATGCATAGAGGTGGAATAGCCATTCATCTACCCATGTTTAAGCATATAGCAGCCTCGGCAAATCAATAGAAGATGGACTGCTGGAAATAGTTGGGCACTGGCTGGGACAGAGATGAGAATGGCTTGACTTAAAGACTTGTCCTGCACTGCCTTGACGTCATAATCTAGCAGTTCTTTTCTAGCTCCACTTTCTATGAAAACATAATGGTATTACCACATATAAAACACAGATCTGCATTTGAAAGGCATGAGGTGTACAGTTTGGGCCTCATCTCAAGGAATACAGTAAGTACTCATTTAACACATGCCCGCTTAACACATTTTTGCAATTGTACAATAGTTTTTATGGAACGTTTTTCGAATAACACAACCATCCCTGAAATAACACGAAAATAATCAAGTGGCAGACTACTTCACACGGCAGTATAAGTTGGTGAAAACAGTGGAAATACACAAGAGCAAATGAATACATGTGGTCACAGCGCTTCTCCGCTCACTCACGTGTTTATTGTTGTGTTTTAACAAACCGCAGCGACTTGTGTTGCTAGTTATCTTGTGTTGCTAGATAGCTAATGTTGACATTGACGACCCAGCACCAACAAAAAATTGACTTTGCCACCACCACCTGAAACGCAACCCCCATATTTTCCATTATTTTTAATGGGAAAATTGACCCCACATAGCACATTTTTGCTTAGCACAAACATTTTCGGAAACGCATCTATAGTGTTAAATGAGGAATTACTGTATAGCACAGATAGCAAATTGAGCACAAAGCAAGAATGTCTGGAAGGGACGTACTGTATGCGTGACTAGAGATCAAAATAGCGAGGATCATTTAGCTTGGAAAAAAGAACAGGTGAAAGGAACCCCAAATGATTTAAAATAGAGATTGTGGGGAGACAAAGTGGTAATGTTTTCGGAAGTGACTTGTGGCTCCAGGTGCCTCCATTTTTGGGGGCTCGCAGTGAGACCCTACATATGAGAGGGCGAGTGCTCAGAAATCTCTGAAAATCGGGCTTCTTTAAGGGGTTTCAATTTGGCGGTCCAAAAATGGCTGTGTCTAAATTGGTGAATCGCTTTTGGAAATCTTGGACAGACTGTCAGCTACGTACCAGAGGGGGCGTCCTACTCATGATTTGAATATGCCTGGTGGAGTTCAAGGTCCTTAGTAACGCATTACTAATGATGTTCATCAGGACTGGGAAGCAATTGATTCTCTGAGCATTGCACATCATTGTAAATCTGAAATGCTGAAGAAATGAAAGATTAGTCCGTCTCCACCCTACAGATCAGGGTGGAGGAAATTGGATTTAAAAAGCAGAGTGAAATTTTGCCTTGATTGATGCCGTCAATATAAATGAACACAGAATGTGTATAAATGAGCATGGAACCCTACATCTCTAGCATTGTCATATGCTGGTCTTGCTTCATGCAACTTTTATTATACCTGATACATTTGCTAGCTTAAAACCCAAACAAGGCTATTTTAAAAATGTATTATTCTTCCCATTGATCTACTTAACAAAACCCTCTTTAGTCTATTTTTTTCAGGCTAAAACTTTTTAAAAAAAACCTAGTATAGAAAATGCCATATGCATTCATGCTGCCATTTAAATTAAATATGAACATAAACCAATCTCTTGATGTGAATGCTGCCAAAGCTGGGACATAAACTCTAGATGGAGATTGTTTTCTGTACTGTCAAAGTAAAACCAAGTCTCCTGACTACAGGAAAGGCTAAACCCAAAGTTTGCTGCTTGAATCCCTCTCTAATATAAATAACCATAACATTGCCCATTAGTGGTTTTTGAGTTGTACAGTTTCACAGAGCCTCGTACATATTTAGATTCAATTACCTTATCTTCCAGTGATACTTTAATAGCCCCATTATATTCCCGAGCATCTGAGATGTTTTTCCAATTAGCTGTTTCCAACATTATATTCTGACTCTTTACAGCATGGATGAAGTCCTCAATGTCCGAGCCTAACAAATTAGAGAAAGCTGAAGTTAGACAGTTCTTTAATAGTAAATGCAACAGAATGATAAAATCAAAAGGAAGATCCCAAACAAGCACTCTAAGATAGTCTGTGTCCAGATCTGAAGTACATGGTTTAGGACCATTCCTAGTACAATTCTAATGTCGCTATAGTAAGGTATATTGTAAGCTAAAGGGCTAAGACAGAAGTTCTTGGAAATTCTTTCCTATAACTAGGCATACATGTCTAAGATTTTTCAAGTGATGGGTATGTGAAAGGGAGCATAGTGTGATCTTTTACACAGCAAGGGGTTTCTTAGCAAAAAGTGACATGTGAAGATGGTAAGAAAAATATGATTTCCGACAGGATGGAAATTCAGAGATTTTGAAATTTGGTTTTATCTCAAATCACAAAGAAAAGTTGAAATCTCTGAATAGCTTATAAAAGGAAATATTCTGAAACATTGATTGAATAATTAATCAGCAGTTCCTTGCCTATCTTTTTGGTATTAAAGCTGGTCTACTTTTCATAGCTCCCCACCATTTCAGTTTTCAACTAAATATACTATTGAGATGAATGGGGCCAGTCAAACATTTCAAGGCTATTGTTTCAGGCTTTCTGCAGATGCAAGAAACCAGTACAGAATCAGCTTACACTTGGGCCGTGTTTATACTTGGGCCTTGTCTACACACACTGCTGTGTGGATCAATCTCCTGGGGGTCAATTTAGACAGTCTAGTAAAGACCTGCTAAATCAACCACTGATCACACTCCTGTCAATTCCGCTACTCCACTGGATCGAGAAAAGTAAGGAGAATTGAAGGAAGACTTTCTCGCATTGACCCTTTGCAGTGGGGATAGCATGGTAAGTCAAACTAAGGTATGTCAACTCCAGCTAGGCTACTCACATAGCTGGAATTGTGTACTTTAGTTTGACATTGCGTGGTAGCGTAGACCTGGCCTTGGGTCATGTTTCCAAGTGCAACCTGCACACCTGCTGGGTGTGATATACTATCCCATTTATTGGCACCGAGACCACTTACATAAAGAATAATGAGCCTGCTTTACTGCCACAACTAGCAGCTAGCTAGTTCATGTGGGAGAGGCTCATGCTCTAAGCTCCAGAGGTCCCAGGTTTGATTCCACCTGCAGATGGTGGGGTTCTGTCAGCATTACACAAGATTTACTTCAGCACCACAAGGGTTAGAAACATCAATTTTTAAAAAGAATCTGGAGTATGATTCATGCAGCAAAGTATGGATATCATGGAAAAGGCAACAACCATGGAATAGTGGATTACATGTGACTCCAATTACAACGCTTCATGATTTCAAAGCATTCTGCAAACAATAAATGTTTTTCTTCTGGTCTGAAGTAATTAATGAATTGATCTTAGATGAATCATTCAGGGAATCCACTAAGACGGTCTAGAACTTAGTGCAAGAATATACTTTGCAACTCTGTACTGGTTTTGTCTCTTTCTTCCAAAGAAAAAGTAACTGTCTGAGGGAAAACACAGGACACATACAACGTGTTATGTTGTAGATTCCAACATTGGCGTTCTTAATTCCATTTTTCCTCACCTGTATCATTGAGGACCAATAAGCTGGTGTGACGAGTTTGATAGTGCTGCCATCCAGGCTGGAGAAAATACATCTGAGGCGAAACCTTCAACGTATGGGCAACAGTTCTTTTCTCGGTTAATATCTTGATGAGAAGGATGGGCAGGATCAGAAAGCCACACAGCAGTAATCTAAAATGGAGGAAAAAGTGATGAGTCAAAACCTATTCATTTAGTGCCCAGCTGGCAAGAAAGTCAAAATAAGATGCTTATGCTCTCTTAGCTGCCACATTGTTGTCATCAGAGGTTCACAAACCTGCAGGCTCTTTAGAGCAAAAGTCTAGCTCTGCTCTGTAGCCCTGTCTCCCCTCCCCTGCTCTGGGCACACACACAGAGAGAGAGAGAGTCTGACCGTGTAAGCTAGCTGCTGAGGAAATTTCAAAAGCAGTGAACTGTCTCTTTAAAAGAAGCACTCACACACTTTCCAGAGAAAACCCCTCACCCCAGTACTCCTCAGCCAGTTTCCTCTGTCCCCTGGTCCCCTCCTGTGCTGCAGAAAAGAGCTAGTGGCACACCGGGGGACACGCTAATTGTGACCTCAGCACCCCTCTACCCACTGCTCTGCACAGCTAGCAGGAAGGTGCAACACTGGGGGGAGGGGCACCTGCCACTTCTTAGCTAGGAGGCATGTGAATCTCTTTTGCATGGCAGGGTCCCTCAGGGCTCTTTGAAATCACCCAGGGCCCTGAGCCCTTGCCCCTCTTGCTCCCTCTGCCTCCCCCCATTGTCAGGTCTGGGCCCTACCAAAACCAGCAAGAAAATCTTTGTTTTGAGCCCTCCCTCCCTTAAAGGGAAAGGGAAGAAAACCTTTTCGCAGGTTGAACACGGCCTCTAAAAAGTCTCAGAGGGGCCGCCGTGTTAGTCTGTGACTTTAAAAACGGCGAGTAGTCCTGTGGCACCTTAGAGACGAACAGAAGCCTATAGGATCATGAGCTTTCGTGGGCCAAACCCGCTTCCTCAGAGGATCGCAGCTCATCATCTGAGGAAGTGGGTTTTGCCCACGAAAGCTCATGATCCTATATGTTTCTGTTAGTCTCTAAAGTGCCACAGGATTACTCGCGGTTTTTATAGTCTCCAAACTCTTCAAGCCAAAGTGAGAGGACAATGAAGTTTGCAGGATTTCCATGATCTGGAACAGGCATTCTGTTTCTCTTACACATTGATCACACCCCTTTCTGTTGGCTCATTCTTCTGTTTTGTTGCTTCCAGACAGCTAACAGGCCCAAGCTGTTACCTAACCATGTTGAGTAACTCTTGCATTCCTGAGCTGGAGAGCTATAGCTTCCTCGCTCTATAAGTAACCCTCTTGCTTCCTTGGGCCCCAGACAGCTGGCACATCTTGATGCCTCATTACACACACAAACCTATAGGGCAGGGGTGGGGAACTTGCAGTCCCCACTTGCCTGGATCCGGTCCCGAAGGCTCCGGGCTTCTCGCTCCCCCGCATTGGGGATTCTGTGGTGGCACTCCAGCCCATCCCCCACTAGCCCACCATGGGGCTGGAGCATACAAAATCTACTAGCCTGGGGGTCAGCAGTCTCTGCCCCCCAAAAGGTTCCCCACCCCTGCTGCAGGGGAACATTTTAACCTTCCTGTTAAGAAAAGTACTCACACACTTTCCAGAGAAAACCCCCCACTCCAGTCATCCTCAGCCAGTTTCCTGTGTCCCCTGTTCCCCCGCCCCTTCCCCTGTGCTACAGAAATGAGCTAGGGGCCAGGGGACACGCCGATTGTGACCTCAGAACCCCTCTACCCACTGCTCTGCTCAGCTAGCAGGAGGGTCCAACATTGGGGGGGAGGGGCACCTGCCACTTCTTAGCTAGGAGGCATGTGAATCATTTTCAAAGTAGCCATTCTTCTACAAAGGAATTTCACTAAACCAATTAGAGAGAGAGAGTCTGCAGAACTGGAATTTATCCATTACCCTGGGCTTGAGCATAGCATAACAAAGCCAATTTCTCCTCCCTTTAACATCTGCATTTCCACATCAAAAGCTATATATAGGACACATCCAGCTCAAGTAATTAGCCTCATTAACAATGGGTCCTACAATTGACTGGTACTTCTTCTGCTGTTATATGTATCTTTTTGGTTTCTGGTATTTCCTCTCCAATTCATTTGATGATGTGGGTTTTACTCACAAAAGCTCATGATTCTATATATTTTGGTTAGTCTCTAAGGGTGTGTCTAGACTACGTAGTTTTGTCGACAAAAGTGGACTTTTGTCGACAAAACTATACCAGCGTCTACACTACCGCTGAGTTCTGTCGACATAACGTCGACAGAACTCAGCAGTTTTGTCGACGCTGGTATACCTCATTTTACGAGGCATAACACCTTCTGTCGACAGAACTCTGTCGACAGAAGGTGTTATTGCCTGTAACGTTGCGTCCAGACTACGGAGTTCTGTCGACAAAGCAGCTTGCTTTGTCGACAGAACTCAATGTGTCTGGATGCTCTTTGTCAACGGAAGTTTTGTCGACAGTATCTGTCGACAAAACTTCCGTCGACAAAACGCGGTAGTCTAGACGTACCCTAAGGGTACTTCTACTCTGCACAGTTATTTCGGAATAAGCTATTCCGAAATAGCTTATTTTGAAATAGCATGTCTACACTGCAGGGAAGCTTCAAAATTAGTCCTAGATGGGCTTCTCTAATGTAGATGTGCTATCTCGATTTAGAGTCCCAAGAGGAATAACTTAGAATGCCTCTGGTGAGGGGCTATTTTGAAATAGCAGAAGTGGAGCATCCACACATGCCTTATTTCGAAATAGCTATTTTGGAACAGGTGTTATGCTTCATAGAATGCGATTTACAGAAGTTGGAATAAGCCATGCATTATTTCAAAATTATTTCAAAATAACTGAATTGCTGCGTAGACGCTCGCATAGTTTTTTCGGAATAACGACCAAAGTCACGTTGCTGTGTAGACACACCCTAAGGTGCCGCAGGACTACACATTATTTTTAAAGTTACGTACTAACACAGCTACCCTTCTGAGATGTATTCACCTGTGCTCAGGTATTGTAAGAAACAAATCTCAAAATTACATTTCATTTGGCAAAGCGGTAAGCAAGTGTAATTGAGAACAGCAAGGCCACAGGAAACAATAGGAAGATGGAAACGACATTACACCTCCTAGGAGTTTTTCACAAAGGCGCCTTGAGCCAAAAGGTTGGTTTCCGCTGCCCGTTATTCACTATGTTTAATCAGCACATTGTTTTGAGTGCTGAGGCACAAAATAATGAACAGCGAGAGTAGTTTCTTCATGGCTTTTTTGGGGCACATTCTTTTGCTTTTCATATACACTCACAATGGGCAACCCAGGCTTGTGACGGGGCCACACAAGTGGCCCTCCATCTCAGCAGCGGCTAGACCCCGACGGTCTCCCGGGATAGAGAAGTTTTCCTAACTGTGCTGGCGTACCTAGAATTTGCAGGGTGTGCCAATCAGGGATGGACCGAGCCATTTCGGCGCCCTGGGCAGACAGTTGAATTGAGCCCCGGGTTGGGGGAGGGTGCATGCGCAGCCTCGCCCCTGCCCGGCACGTGGGGGCAGTGGCAGGACGCACGTGCCCGGCCCGGCCCAGCCCAGCTACTGCCACTGGTGCGCAGCTCGGGGCCGCCCGTGGCTGCGGGGGGAAGGTTGCAGCTGCCATCAGGCGCCCCTCATAGGTTAGCGCCCTGGGCATCTGCCCGGCTAGCCCATGCCTTAATCCGGCCCTGGTGCCAATCAAATTGTAGCAGTGCTTTGATTGGCTGCTGAGGGAGCACACAGGTCTCATGGCCAGTGTTGTGTGCAGTCAGCACCCACCTCACGTCACAGGCCCTGGCTCTACGTGCACGCCACGTTCGTAATACGGGTAGGAACAAAACGATGTGACTGGAAAGCAGTGGAGTTTGGCAACTTTGTGCTTGCAAAAGGGAAAACAAAATGTGTCACAGGCCACACACTAAAACCCAATGGGCTGCAGGTTGCCCACCACCGACATCCAGTCAGACGCACCCTGGCACTTACATAGACCTAATGGTGCGACTCTCATGCTTGAGCTTCAGGAAGCGAATTCTTGCCACGGCACAGGCTTGCTGTCTCCAGAGGGCAGCGCCACTGACAGTCGCCCTGCTGGTGTCGGAAAGTGACAGGAGACGTTGTTCCAATTCATCGGCAGAGAAGGTCTCTCTTTCCTCTTCTGCCTGCTCCTCACCAAAAACACCGTAATCTAGGAGCGAAGAAATCAGCCTGTGAAAGCTCATCCCGTATCCTGGGGTGTTTGGAACACAGTGGTGTGCTCCTTTTAGCTTCCCTGCAGAGCACGAGGGAATCGATCCCCGGATTACAAATAAGACGCAGAGGGCGGGGAGAAATGATTTTCCCAAACCGACTGATGGAACCCACATCTCATAACCATGTCCTACCAACTGAGGGACCATTGAGGAACTTTGGAATAATGTAGGTGTAAGTGCTGTGGCTGGAAACCCCCAAAGGCTCACTACTGACATTTGTGGGTGCAAAGGGAGAAGAATGCTTGAGAATGCCGGACGGATGGAGGCTCCACAATTAGTGGGGAGGGGTGGGGGGCCAGTTGTCCCCGAGCACCACTCTAGGGAGGCACTAATTTAGACCCCCTCTGCTCTCTCTGTCATCCCTCAGCTTGCCTGCTTCTTGTCCACCTGCTGCCACCAGCTGGAGCCTCCTGCCCGCCTCTCCACCCCCAGCCCGACCCTCTTCCATCTCTGCCAGCTGGTTAGTGTGTGCTGGGGCCCGGCCCTGAACTGGAAAATAAAATGCATCAGGCTCAGCTGTGCACCAGTTTTGGGGCTCCACAGGGCAGTGGCAGCCTGGGGGAAGGGCACAATTTTGCCTTTGCCCCCAGGTGCATAATAACCTCGCTATGCCTCTGTCCACAGGGGAGGAAACTTTGGGCTGGTGAGCAAGGGGAAATGACAGTGTGGGCCAGGCCTCGTTTGCATTTCAGTTACATGACGATGTCCACTGTGTTCCCATATCCTCACCTCACTCCAATACCCTCCCTTGCTCCTGCACCCTCCCTCCCAACCAGACCCCTCCCACGCCAGCCCACTCCTGCACCCTCCCTCCTACCCAGATTCCTCCACTCTCAGCCTGTTCCTGTATCCAGCTGCACTGATAGCCACCGTGAGCCCCGGTGAGGCCAAGAGCAGTCAGTTCTTAGCACTGCCCAGACCATGGGGAGCCCCACCCCTGCCCTCAGAGACACGGAGCAGTGCTCCAGCAGCAATTCAAAAGGGTCCCGGCACTCCGGCCACCGTTGTGCTGTAGTAGCGGCTCCGGGCCCCTCCCTGGCAGGCCACTGATGCTTTATTTACCTGTGCATCCATAGATACTGCTGCTTACAGATCCCATTGGTTGTGGATCAACATTCCTGGCCAACAGGAGCTGTGGGATGTCCACACCATTTCCCACAGCTCCCATTGGCTGTGAACGATGATCGACTGCCAATAGGAGCTGCAAGCGGCTGCTACCTTTCCCTTTGGTAGCAACAGCACCTGTCCAGAGGAAGCACTTCACCATAAAAAGCTTAACTTTAAAACGTAGGCATTTAAGTTAAGTTACCGGATCCTGGACCTGAACCTGGGGAGTAATTTCAGAAAAATTCTTGGTGGGGTGGGGGCAAGTTATGTCAATGTGTGGAATGTGATATCTAATTACATTATATCCTGCGGAGTTGTGGGAAGAGGAAAAAGTGGAGCGTATCCACCTAAGAAAATTCAGACTGGGGTCAAATTATATCCTTGATCCAAGTTCTCAAATCAGTATGGAGGAGCCTAAAATGGATATTTGGACACCAGGTTTGGAAATGGCCGCTCAAGTCAGAGGATGAAGTTTCAAGCTTTTAGCCCTACGGGACATTACCAAATTGTAACACTGATGTGTCACATCAGCATGTGTGTTTGGCATCAGTGAGTCTATTTTTTTTTTATGGGGGTGGCAACTCTCCGTTTAATTTGAGATCTACCATTGGATTGGAGATGACCAAAATGAGAATCAGGATTCCAAGCAGCTATGAAACGGTGAAAAGACCTGTTTCAAAAATCAAGAAAGATTCCTTGGCATGCTTTCAGTGGAACAGAACATATCGTAAGGTTACTTATTTGGATTTATCTGATCTTTTGTACTGGGACAAATCACACTATTCTTATTAGCAGGGCTTGACAAACGGCGGCAAAAAACGCTCGCCAGCCCCGCACTGCACATGCGCACGCTGTTGATGAACGGGGCGCACGGCTGAAATCTACTCTCCACGGGCAAGTAGATTGTATAGCTTGTCGAGCCCTGCTTATTAGCCAAAAGTCCTAATTCACTTCCGTGAGAATTCTGCCTTTGTAGAGACTTGATCACTGTTCTCATTTTGGGCAGTACTGAACTTTTTCACCTGCTTCCTCAACTGCGGCTTCTTCTTCCAGTGTCAGGAACACATCAGTCAGGGTTGTCATGGAAATGCCGTAACTCAGAATCCCCGGGCATGCAGAAGCGTCTAGATCACAGAACAGTTCTAGAACACACACACACACAAAATGGCTCTCAGTGGCATTCTTAGAGTTGCATATTTTTTAAGCTTCACCGATTGGTAAATACGTTGATCTGAATATGGATTCATCTCGGCCTACATCATGGCTACGGTGACCATATTTTCTAACCCAAAAAGAGGGACTTATGAGATCAGGCCCTACCATCAATCAAATGGTAGCAATGCCTCCTGACCTCATTAGCCATGCCCTGACCCCTTGGGTCTGCCCACGTGTTCCAGACAGCTGCACCTCTGTCTTTTAAATGTAGTAAGAGCCGCCTGGGGGGGTCTCAGTGGAGGCGGTGAGTGAGTGGGCTGGAAGTGCGGGGACTGGGCATGAGGGAAAGGGGGGGCTCTTGCTTTTGTACAGCTCCTAACGCCATGCCCCAGGCACCACCTCTGGCTGCTCCTATTGGCTGGATTTTGGAGCAGCAGGAAAAGCCTTCAGAAAACATCCCTATGCTCCTGTTCCCGCATTTGGGGGACAGGGAGAGGGAACAGCAGCATGCAGCTGCTTCTAGCTGCGCTTCTTCCCCACAAGCCGGATCTAGAGGGGCACCTCAGGGCCTTTTTCTCTCCCTCACCACCACCGAAATATTAGAATTTCTCAGATATTTCAGTGCTTTATGGGGACAATGGGACAGAAGATTTAAAATCGGGACTGTCCTGGAAAATCCAGGATGTATAGTTGGCATAACCATGGCTGGATTTGGGCATTTAAACAGAAAAGTGACAGAAAACAGTTCTCCAGGGTGTATTCTGGAGAGCAGATACCCATCCAACCAGGGTTTGAAATCTCTGACATGGATGCTCACTAGGAAGTTGTGCATGCAAAAAAAAAAAAAGTTTTATCATAGGCTCTCCAAGTCCTTTACAAACACATGTTCTAGTCCAGACAGGAGTTATTTCAGGGAAGTTCTACCGCCTCTCAGACTAGATAAGCACTGATTATCTTAGAATTGATTCTGTAAATTAAGTCTCATAACTCCCTTATGAGGGAGTTGTTAATATCTTGATTTTACTGATGTAGCAATGGAGGGACATAGCATGTAAGTGTGACTTGCGAAGAGGTGGAGGAAACTGGGCATAAAACCAAGATCTTCAGTACTTTACTCATAACACCACCCATCTCCTCCTGCCCTTTCTGCTAATTATCTTTTTCCTTTAAAAGACATGGTAAAATGGGGTTGCTCATCTTAAAGAGACAATTAACATACAATAATTAAGGCAAAACATTAACAGAAAAAAAGTTCAGTTTCTGTATGGATATTTTCTTCCAGGAGTCCTTTAGACTTGTTCTCCTGAAATTTCTCTGCTATAAAGAGTCAGTCTTAGATTACAAAGTGAAGATTACCAGGGAACATATCCACATTTTCAAAGGGTAGCATGTAAATCAGCTCTTCTTGACTCTGCCCAGATAGCTTAGCACTGGGGATATATTGTTTGACTAGAGATGTCACTTTCACAGTATCACAAGAGTCATTAATGTGCAGGCTGGAAATGAAAGAAAAAGGAAATAATTGTAATGGATGCTCACTAGGAAGTTGTGCATGCAAAAAAAAAAAAAGTTTTATCATAGGCTCTCCAAGTCCTTTACAAACACATGTTCTAGTCCAGACAGGAGTTATTTCAGGGAAGTTCTACCGCCTCTCAGACTAGATAAGCACTGATTATCTTCTGCTCAGCCTGGAACAATCCAACCAATGCAGAAATGGGTAGTCACCACTTAGATGGTTGAAAAAAGTTAAATCTTTTTTTTAAAGTTCAAAAACTAATTGTCCAGGGCTCTGTTTCTTTCAAACAAATGGAGAAATCTGGACAAACTAGATGTGATATGGGAGCAGAAATGGAATCTAATTACAGAATCATAAGAACGTAAGAACAGCCATACTAGGTCAGACCAAAGGTCCATCTAGACCAGTATCCTGTCTGCTGCCAATTCCAGATGCCCCAGAGGGAGGGAACACAACAGGTAATCATCACGTGATCCCTCTCCTGTCATCCATTTCTAGACAAACACATGGACTTAACCTCCATGAATCTATCTAGCTCTTTTTTGAATCTCTTTCAAGTCCTAGTCTTCACAACATCCTCTGGCAAGGTGTTCCACAGGTTGACTGTGTGCTGAGTGAAGAAAAACTTGTTTTTGTTTGTTTTAAACCTACTGTCTATTAATTTCACTTGGTGACCCCTAATTCTTATATTGTGGGAATAAGTAAATAATTTTTCCTTATTCACTTTTTCCACACCAGTCATGATTTTATAGACCTTTATAATATCCTCCTTTAGTCTCCTCTTTCTTAAGCTGAAAAGTCCAAGTCTTTTAAATTTTTCTTCATATGGGACCCATTCCAAACCCGTAATCATTTTTGTTGCCCTTCTCTGAACCTTTTCCAATGCCAATATATATCTTTTTTGAGATGAGGCGACTACATCTGTCCGCAGTATTGAAGATGTGGGTGTACTATGGTTTTATATAGAAGCAATAAGATATTCTCTGTCTTATTCTCTATCCGCTCTAGTGTTTGCCTTTCTGCCACCTGTAGCTAGGAATTTCATTTGATTCCTTAAAGGAAATAAAAAGTTGCATGAAATGCACAGAAGTGTCAGGTTCAGAAAATTTACCCTGAGAATAGCTTGACAGAGTTCACAGGTGTAAAGGGGCTTGTTTCTGTGAGTATTTACAAGACATCAGCCTTAACACAATTATTCCAAATTTGCACTATATGTCCAAGAAAAGAATCACTGAAGGCTTGTCTTCACTTACCCTGAGATCAACAATCCAGATATCAATCTCCTAGGGTTTGATTTAGTGGGTCTAGTAAGGACCTGCTAAATCAACCACTGATGGTGCTCCTATCAATCCTGGTAGTCCATTGTGTTGAGAGGAGTAAGGAAAACTCTCCCATCAACCTCCTGCAGTGGAGATGCTGCAGAAATTCGACCTAACATATGTCAACTCCAGCTATGCTATTCTCATAGCTGGAGTTGCACATCTTAGGTCGACTTTCTCCTGTAGTGTAGATCTGGCCTTAATTAAGTTGGTGTTGAGAGAGCAAAACACCTCCTGGGATCAGGCATATAGTTTTCCACAGCATGGGATTTTATTTTCTTAAAGGATGGAATGAAATATTTGGATAGGAAACCAAATGGAGACTTCAGACCTGAACAGATCAATTACTTCAGGAACTTCGTATCATTTTTCAAATGCAACATCCAAATAAACAATAGAGCTGAAGCTGGGGAAAAAACAACCATCACCACCACCACGTTATGTCGTTTGGTTACCTAGATACTTTATTGTTAATTAGTGCCAAATGTAATCACCAATTAGGGTTTTGCACATTGTTTTGGACTTCCCTCCCCCACTTCTGTGTAAATGTTTGTTTCTTTTTATATTGGTCAGAAAACTGAAATTAACAGCTGTTTGGTACTTGGCCACCCTGTCAGACAGATAAAATATACAGCTGAGAAAGATGCTTAATATACAAATGTCAAAACTAATACACACCAGTACTGTGTACATTCATTTTGACAATATAGGGGTAATTACTTCCTTCCCTATTCCCCCAAATATATATAGAACCAAAAGTTATTCAAAACACGAGCTCGGTATACTGCACCTTAAATGATATCCAATTCCCCATTTTCTCTTCAGAAAGAGAGAAGAGCCAACACACTTCAGCCTCCCATGGGAGATAAAAGCTTTCCGGTCTAAAGAAACAGAAACAAAATGATTTGTTCCAGGAAGCTAAAGTGGGAAATTATTCTTCCCTAGAGAGAAAAGATGAGCGAGGGGAGACTAGAAAGATGCTTGCAAAGTTGTGGAAGCTGCGACTGTCCCAGGATATGAGCTAGATAAGACGTGCGAGGGAAGGTCTTTTAATGGACCAATGTCTGTTGGTGGAAGGGAGAAGTTTTCAAGCTGCATAGGGCTTTTCTTCTGATCTGTAAAAGACAGAAACTATATGAAGCCTAAAAGCTTGTCTCACCCACCAGCTGAAATTGGTTCAATAAAAGATATTATTTCTCCCAGCCTGTCCATCTTATAAATAAATGGCTGTACTAAAGACAGCCGGGACTAGCCTGTCAAGACAGAACACACCCTGGACAGAAGATGGGGAGAGCAGGGGAGGGAATGGCTTTTCCATTTCATGGGAAATCTTAGATTTTTGTAACTTTTTTCGGTTCCAAAATGGAATGAAAAGAAAAACCACACAGAAATGCAATGCAATTCTGAAAAAAAAAAATCAAGTTCATGTCAACTGATACATTTTATTTGGGTAAAATCAAAATATTTCATTCCAAGATTTCTTTTTTAAATTATATGTTACATAATGGACCATTTTAAACATTGAAATGAAAAATGCTTTTGAAATGGAAAATGGAAATGTTCCACTCCAAAAAAGTTACTCTCCAAACACTTCATTCCTTGCTTTTTTCCTACATGAAATGTTGTCCGAACTGACACATGCCCACCATGCATTTTCCTTTCCACAAGTCGGCGTTTGCTGACAGAACAAAGTCCCACTGGGAAATTTCTGGCCAGCAAAATACATTTATGTTGCTATTATCATCATCATCTCTCGGGTAACGAGAAATCCAGCACTTACCAGCGAGAATATCGGCCTCGTCCATTAGCTGGGTACAAAACAGGGTTACTCGGTTAGCTTTATGCTCCTTCAGTAGGCTCCATACATGGTATCTGGAACTGGGATCCAATCCAGCAGTTGGCTCATCTAATAGCAAAACCTGCCAGGAGGAAATAATAAAACATCTCGTGTCTGGGACAGATTCTGATGTGTAGGACTGCACATTTAGCAGAGTGGTTAGGGTTTTAATGGGCCTGAAGCATGTCAATTCAACATTCCTGCGGAAAACTTTATACTCAGATAAGGAAAGGGAATTAAATGGATAGAGCTGTATCTATTTATACAGCTGCTAAGAGCTCTTATCTTCCATTGGGTGCATTCTAGCCTGGGTACGCAAGAGATCCTGGCCCTCAAAGCTGTGGGTTCCCTCTGCAGATCTTGGCATGAAATTGTCACTAGTATCTCTGGAACAGAAGAAGCAACTCAATGGCTCATCTAGATTACAGGGAACGGTCGAAAGAACATATGCAAATTCCCTGGGAATTTGCATATCTTCTTCCGAGCGGAGCTTTTGAAAGTGAAAGTAATGAAGATGTGGCTTTTTTCGGCGAACCGCCCCCATCGTCAAAAAGCTGCTCTTCTTTAATTTGCATATCTTCTCTCGACTGTTCCCTGTAGTCTAGATGAACCCGTAATGCCCACGCCTGGTCCTCTGGATTGGGCTGTGGCGATGATCACAGGGGTGGGGTTCAACTTGCCCTGTTTACTGTCAGCTTGTGGTGAAACTGAATTTTGGTCAGGGCTACAGCTAGAGACAGGCTATGCCTACACTGCAAAGTTTTTGCACAAAACCAGCCATTTTTGCACAATAACCCGCACCATGTCCACACTTCAAGCATGCTTTTGTGCAAGTAAATTGACAGTAAAATGTCAGAACAGAGGGCTTTTTGCGGTGTAGGTAAACCTCCTTCTATAAGGCATAACTCCTTTTTGCGCTACAGCTCTTGTGCAAAAAGGCAAGTGTGGACGTTCCCTATTGGAAAAAGCACAGGTGCTGTGATGGCTATTCTGTGAATGGCCGTCGGAGCTTTCTTGCGCAAGAGCGTCCGTGCAGTGTGGACGCTCTCTTGCGCAAAAGCGATGGGCTTTGAGGTGTGGATGCACTTTTGAGGAGGAAGTTTTTGCGCGAGAACTCTTCTGCAAAAGACTTCTTGTGCAAAAACCCTGCAGTGTAGATGTAACCTAGGAGTGCAGAGCCGGTGTGAGAATCTGCGGGGCCTAATTCGACAAATATGATTTTTTTTAAATTTTTTTTTTAATTGTATCCTTTGGTATATATGGTTGTGACTACTTTCTTCCACTATTTGATCTGAGGAAGTGGGTCTGGCCCACGAAAGCTCATCATCTAATAAACCATCTTGTTAGTCTTTAAAGTGCTACATTGTCCTGCATTTTGCTTCAACTACCCCAGACTAACACGGCTACATTTCTATCATAATTCGAATAGGGCGCTGTGGCCCAGGCTGTCGGTAGCACAGAGGTGCAGGCAGGAATGACCCGTGATCAGCTCCCAGTGCCTTGCCCGAGGCAATACACATATCCAATGAAAATAAATAGCATCATGAAAAGCAAAGCCCCACAAACTAAATCAGTAGCTCCTGACTACTGTCACCAGTGCAGCTGCCTTCTCAGCAGGGTGTCCTCCCAAAAAGCTGATGTTAATCTTACCTGGGGGTCTCCTAAAATGGCAATTCCAAGTGTCAGCTTTCTTTTCTGTCCTCCACTTAAGCTGCTCGCTTGGCAGTCCTGGACATCTGTTATTTTCAACATCGTCAAAACCTTTTGGACCTACAGAACAGAGAACCTCCTGGTTTCAAGCTAGTCAGTTAAGATTTTCTTCAGAGTTGTTTCTTGTTTCCCAAATAGCACATGGGCCACAATAGCAGCACACGAACTGGGCTTAAAAAAAAATTACTGGGCTTCAGGAATTGAATCTGAAACCAACGCTACACCCCGAAATGCCTGACAAGCTCCAGGCGGTCATACTGGGGTACAGCCTGCAGTGTGGCCAACTCTTGAGATTGTTATGGCAAGTCCCACAATACAAGGCATTTGTCATAAAGCCCCAGGGGCCGAAATCATTATTGCGTGAGACTCTCAGCTTTCAGGTCTCTCAAAAAGTAAAGCAAAATTAAAAGGCCCCAATATTTATTATTCTTTTTTTAAACTCTGATGGCAATCCTAATGGGTTCCTTGGGGGAGGGAGGGAGTTGGTTCTGATAGGTATTTGAACATTTGGGGTTGGCCGTACTGAGTATAATTGTTAAATATTGGCACACCCAGAAGTAATATTGTTGGGAACTTTGTAAGAAAACAGCCATTCCTGTGTGAAAAGATACAGCTATAGTGCACAATCATTCTGCAGGGAGGAGGATGCTGGCATGCCATTGGAGCCCTGCTGTGCTACAGTGTGGCGTGGCGTGGCGTGGCGTGGCGTGGCGTGGCGTGGCGTGGCAGTCTGTCTGTCTGTCTGTCTTTCTTTCCCCTGTCCCAGCAAGGGTCTCATATTCCCAGCTGGGAAAATACAATAACCTCCATAGCCTGGGTGAGCCTAATTGGGGAATACCCGTAGTACGGACCCAAACTGGGGGAATGGCAGCAACGCGCTCAGCTGAAGGCTTTTTCCCTGCTGCTTCTATAGTGGCGGAAGGGGGAGGGCAAGGCCTGGAAGTGGCAGAGACCGCAAAGCGCCAGGTAAGCACCCTCCCTCCTTCCCTAGCTTGGCAAAATCTTTAATCCAGCAAACCTTGTTTCCCAGGGCTGCCGGAGTAAAGAGGCTCAAGTGTATCTCTTTACACTGAAGCAATCCCATGAAGCGCAGTTCAGCAAAGAAAGTTAAAAAAAGGAACTGGGATATCCCCCAGGGAGGACAAATCAGAGATGTGCTGACAGGAAACCATGACTCTGAAAGTTGCCTTGTCTGCAGAGTTTGTTTGGATTTTTAGAATCATGCGCTTTCATGAGCAAAACCCACACTTCCGCCGATGAATTAGAGTGGAAATAACAGAAAAAGAGATCTCTATATAAAAGCTTCTCTTTGGATACATCTACACTAGTCCCCTAGTTCGAACTGGGGAGGCTGATGAGGATGACTGAAGTTGCTAATGAAGCGTGGGATTTAAATATCCAGCGCTTGATTAGCATAATCCCGGCCAGTCGCCATTTTGGAAACTGATTAGCCCGAAGTAACTGCCTGCGTCTACACGCAGCAGAGAAGTGGGATTCCGAGATAAACGCCTTAGTTCAAATTAACTGTTAAACCTCATTCCACGAGGAGTAACAGATAATTCGAACTAAGGGGTTTATCTCGGAATCCCGCTTCTCTGCCACGTAGAGACGCAGGCAGTTACTTCGGGCTAATCAGTTTCCAAAATGGCAACCGGCCGGGATTATGCTAATCAAGCGCGGGATATTTAAATCCCATGCTTCATTAGCAACTTCGGTTGTCCTCATTAGCCTCCCTAGTTCGAACTAGGGGGCTAGTGTAGACGTGCCCTGTGTGTATATCTGTTGTTACCACTCCAATTCACCTGAGGAAGTGGGTTTTGCCCAAGAAAGCTCATGATTCTATGCATTTCGGTTAGTTTCTATGTTGCCACAGGACTACTCGTTTTCCTAGTGAGAAATGTGTAATTTGAGACTGGCCCCATTCTCTAAAACTACATATGTTCATGTAATGCTCAAAGAAGTTTTTCATTTGGTCTCACTTAAACAGAAACGTAGCAACAACAAAAGCTTATTTTTTGGAAACAGAGAGGTAGACGGAGAGACTGAAAACTCTCTTAGAAATTGCCTCAAGTGTTCACTACAGAATTATCCAGAGACTAAGTTTGCGGCAGGAAGTTCACGGACCCATGAACAAAATGTTCAGGGATTTTGCTAACTAGTTTCCTGCTGGCTGTTGCAGCTAAACCAAACATGCAGTTATTGTTTATTTACTGCAGAAGGCCAAACAATGTTTGGATCTTTGGACTGTACATGCTTAGTCAATGACTGTGGCAGAGTCAATAGAAAAAGGGAACATCTGGGAGTGGCGTTATCTAAGTTTCATAAGCTGGAAGTATGTGAATTGCCTAATGAGAGAAATTTGAATTTCCACTCTCTCAGTCACGCAATGGTCTCTGAGGTTTTGTCTTCACCACGGCACTAAGTCAGTTACCATTGCATCAATACAATTGCGTAAGCTTAGTGAGTCTGGTGAAGACACGTTACGTTGATGGGAGAGCACACGCCCATTTTACCTCAGCGAGGGGCAGGAGCTATGTTGACAGGACAGTGTTTCTTGTCAATGCAGTGTGGTATAGACATTGCTTTAAGTCAATGTAAATTATGTTGCTCCGCAGTAGTGCAGACAAGCCGTAAGGTATGGGTGGTCCAGATATTGGCTCTGAATGCCTACCAACTTCCCTGCAAGAATAATCTGTGACGTTGATCCATAAAAGCAGAATGGAAAAGGCCCTTCCTAGAAGATGTAAAATATGATGGCTGAATAGCATCAGACACTTGTCCTTCCTAGGGACCCCCACAAAGCACCCGACTTGTCTCAGGAAAATACATAATGGAGGTGCATATTGCATTCAGAAGCCTCCGTGCCATCCAGACAACATGCAAACTAACCTACTAGAACTTTCCGGGGCATGCCCTTCACTGCAAAGGGAAAGCCATTGCATCAAGTCTTAGAGCAGTGGTCCCCAACCTGTGGTGGTGGCCGGGCGCCAGGGGGCGTGGCCGTTCGCCCACCAGGCGCCAGGGGGCGGGGACGGGGCCCCCCCATAGCCGCGCGCCCCCCCTCCTCC